AAAAAAAAAATAACTGTTTCACTTCCTACCTTCCTGTGCTTTTTCATGATAAATTAGGTGTTTCAATAAGACTAATATAGTAGGGATTATATTTTCTAGAGATATTCATTCTATATGTACTATGTCTATATCCAATTTATTAATCTTGAATAATACTCTCTAAATATATATACAATACTTATATCAATTCCTGTTTGCTTATTTTTATTTATTAGGTAATATCTAATTTATCTAAATATTTACAATTACAAACTTCATTAATCTTTTAAAATATATACTCATAAATCTAATTTCAAATGTTCTGAAATGTTGTAACCACATTAGAAGACAAACAAAACACATAGAATTATGATGACAAAACTTAACCTTGAACTTAAAAGAATTGCAAATGAGGACTTTAATTCTAATTCTGATTTTTCTCTTTGTTACCCAGTCTAGAGTACAATGGCACAATCACAGCTCACTGTTACCTTGAATTCCTGGGCTCAAGTAATCCTCCCCTCTCAGCCTCCAGAATAGCTACAACTACAGGTGCCCACTACCATACCTGGCTAAGGTCTCCTTATGTTGTTCAGGTTGGTCTCCAACTCCTGGGCTCAAGCAATCCTCCCACTTCAGCCTCCCAAAGTGCTGGGATTACAGGTGGGAGCCATCAACCTTGGCCTGGACTCATTCTTATTTCTTCCTATGGGGTATAATTTTACTTTTCTAACGTCAAAAGTAAGGCTTTCCTCCTCGGACTGCCTGAAATTGCAGATAAGGATTGTTGGTAGATGATTTTAGAGTAAGAAGAGAAGACCAGGTTATACTTTCCAAAATGATTATAATCCAGTCCTTTCCAAGTGGACCAGTTTCTCTTTCTAATTAAACTCTGTTAATTTCATGAGATGTGCCCCAAGTATTAGCAATGATCAACCAAAAGTCTTTATTTCTTGGACCATAATATCTTCTCAAAAATTATACTTATTCTGAGTATCTTATTTTCACAGCATATGTTAATCTCCAGATTTAACTCTACTCTGTAGTTATTTGTTATGAATGTCTTCTCTTCCTTATACAACCTAGCTTAAGCCTGTTTTGAAAATACTTGTTTTTAGTGGGCATGGTTAGGTTCAAATAAATGTAAGGCCATCTGTCAGTTTATTGATTTATAAACCACATTTCTCATCAGTCATTAAGACCTCCCATATTGACAGCAATCATCCAACACAGTTAAATTAGAATTTATCTGTGACTTATTTTTCTTCCTATTCCATTATCACTAATTTAGGATTCACAAAGAATAGTATCTGACTAATTTTAAGAGTTTATACTCTTAACCATCAAACTCTACAAAAGCTATAGATTTTTCCCCCTAAAATGACTCCATATTTTTTCCATTCTACTGTGTAGGCACTTCTCACCTCCCACATGGAAGATTGTATAGTAACAATCTAACTAAAGTCATGACTGACCTCTTTCGCCTATAACACATCCCACATAAGTACCGTTAATTATTCTTCCTATTTTTACCAAGTCATTCCTTGGCTCAAAATTTTTCTAATAGCTGTTAGTTGGCTTTCAAGATCCTTCATAAGCTACCCTTCCTCTAACTGAACATTCCATTATTCATCGTTAGCATTTACTCTAATAAGGTCAATGTCATAAACACAGCAACGCCAAAAGTATATAGACTATGTGATAGATGAACAATCATAAACAATCCTACAAGGTATTATATGCTGGTTTTATAAATAAATGTTCTCGGAGAGATTGATAAATTGAGTAAACTGTCCAAGCAAAAAAATGATGAGATTTGAGATTCTGTTTTCTATGTTACAACTTTCTACTACATTGTGCTCTGTCCCTCACATACGCAACTCAGTTTGATCTAGTCTGTGCTTTTTTCATAGTTGCTATCTCTCCAAGTCAGGTTTTTTGTAGTCTTTTATGACCTTTGAAAATACAAAAGATTCTAAAAGACCTCAAAGGGAATCCCTACATCTTCTTGGTATGCCTACCAGCCAAAAAAGAAATTTTCATTGAGCTTTGTTTTCTACAGTTTGTGTTATGAAAACAATAATTGTTTTTTCAACTTCAAATATAAAGGTATACTATAATATTGAGTCTATGCTTATTCAAACCACACCAGTCTCCTAATGCCACCAAATTCTTACACTTGGGAAGAATGTCCTCTCCATCACACCTTTTTGAGAATCAGTGAGCCTGATTTTATGATCCTTGGGGCAAGAGCCATAATATAAATTCATTCATAAAGCATATTTATTGGTGCTTTAATATGCCAGACCATCAGTATGCAAAATTTAAAGAGAAAAATAAAAAAGAGGCTAGCAGTTCTCAACGTCAAGTACCTAAGAGTTGCTGATTAAATACTGGAGATAGTCAAATTAACTGGTGGCTTTTTAACACTGTGGGAAATAAAACCAAGTTTAAGAATCTGATAAAATTTGCAGGAAAACTAACTCTCCAGAAAAATGCACAAACACTGAATTTTGTATACAATTTCAGAAGAGTTATAAATTCTGAAGCCCAATCACCTATCACCACCAAATCCACAGACTCCAGGTTAAAAACCCTCTAACAAAACTAAATTCTCTGGGAACAGGAAATGCCATACTTGCTTATTAATCCTGATTATGCCTTGAACAGTGCAGTGTAGACAAAAGCTGCTTAAGAAATATTTGCTGATCGATAATTTCCTCATAATGATAATCAAATGACACGAGTAAATCGTTTCTTCCATTATGAAGACTTTTAGTCAAATAATTTTATAAGTCCGAACCCCTTTTCACTAATGACATTAATCATCTAAAAGCATTAACTCGAAAATTGTTATTTTGCTATTGACATGTGGACTAAACGGTCATTCACTAACCCAAGGTCTTCTCCTTGGTGCCCCCTACTCCCTTTCAAACTCAGGGCTCCTCCTTCGCAACCCAGCGCCGCATTGCCCCCAGGGAAACAGAAAATAACCAAAGTACACACCCTTAAAGCAGGGAAGATGGGATCCAGTGATGACTACAACTTCCAAACCCTTTCCTTATCATCTGGAGATGGAGAGATTTACCTTAAATTCGAGGAAAGTTGTGGCGATTGCTCTCACAGACAGATAGGACCAGTTATCACACCTTCTTGCCTCCCCGTCACCATAGTGACTTCTAAAAGCTACGCTCCCCACTCTTCCCGCGATACTTCCCCGCTGCGCGTCATCTGAGCGGGCCCGAGACTCCGCCCCTCAGCGAGGCCGCCCTTCTCTTAAAGGGCGTTATTGGACGACTGAGCCACGCCTGTGGGAGGATCCCTACTCCATTTTTTTTCCTCTTTTTTCGAAACTTGCCAGATTATATTTTTCAAATATTTTTAATAATAGTGCTGCTGCTGTAGACCTCAGGGAAAACATCCCCTCGTTCTTTTCACTTAGTAGAAACTTCCCTTACCACTCGGGTCCCGCCAGGAGTTCGCGCATGCGCGTGAGCGACAAGAAGATGGCGGTGGTCATCGCCGCACTTTTTTTCAAATAAGTGAATCCCAGAAATCATTGCGCGCATTTGTAACGAATTTCCGTTCGAGTTTGTATTTTAGGCGCCATTTTCGAGTGAAGGACCCGGAGCCGAAACACCGGTAGGAGCGGGGAGGGGGAGATTATACAACCGTTTCCAGCCTTGGCCTGAGTGGACTGTCCCGCAGGTAAAGTAATTCTTTTCCTGGTCAGGTTGTCACACTCTTCCTTCCCTATCCGCGGTCGCCTGGAAAGTAGAGGCCTTGAGCTGAAGCAGCGAAGTCCGGGCTGAGGCTGCCGCCGGGAGATTTCTCTCGCTGTCACCCCTCCCCCCCTCGGCCGCTCCCCGGCGGCCGGGGCTCTCGCGCGCTTCTCCCGGGCTCCACTTTTCTGAGCTGTTCAAGCGTCTCTCGGGGAGGCTCGAAGCCTCGTGGATCTCTTCCCAAAAATCCCGGTGTCTATCGGGGAAAGGGCGTCTCCCCGTACCCCCTCTGTCTCTCATCTCCCAAGGGACTAGTCATCGGGTCTGAGCCTTAACCGGTGACCTTTCATGGTTCAGTATCCCACGGGACTCCGCCCCGGGCCCTGGAGGGACAAACCCCTGCCACCCCAAAATGACTGGGCCGGAGCAGGCGCTGCCGGCGTCCGGTGGTCGGTGCCAGCCTTCGTCTGCCCTTCGGTCGGACTGCGGAGAAGAGACCGCGAGTCCCTCGGGCCGTCTCCGACGCCGAGAGCTAAATGGCGGGGACGGGAAAGTGGGCGGCGAGTTGCCCGTTAGTCTCCTCTGCTCTGGAGAGTTGCTAGCCACGCAGACTTCGTGAAGCTAATACGAACTTACCTCTCCGAGTCAGTGCGCTTGCATCCCTAGCCCCGAGACCGTGGGAACGTCAGTAAATGTCGGTCTCTGGGAATTACTTCGTTTAAAAATACGTTAGAGAATATTCTTACACAACTACACTGTGGGCGAACGGAGGGAGAGCCTTAAAAAATAGAAAAAACCCAAGCAGTTGATCAGTCCTTGACTGATTCCCAGGCACGTCTAGGTTTTCCCACTTACATAGGTCTTAAGAAAACCAAACTCACCTTCTTGGCACTCGCGTGTTTTGGTGGCTCCTTTCCGGAGGACCCTCCACCCCTGGGAGGGTTTTTAAAATGGGGCTCTCGGAAACGAGTGGACGGAGTTTTCCCCGAGTGGGGCTGGCGGTAACAGTTGGGTTTGCGGGCTGAGCGGGTCCCGCGGCGCGGGCGGTGCGGGCGCGGTCTTGCGGCCGGCGGGCTGACTTGCTCCGGCTCTCCCTTGGCCCCAGCCACCATGCCCCGTAAAGGCACCCAGCCCTCCACGGCCCGACGCAAAGAAGAAGGGCCGCCGTCGTCCCCGGACGGCGCCAGCAGCTATACGGAGCCCGAGCCGCCGTCCGGCCGCGCCGAGAACGCAGCGGCCGCGGCAGGTGAGTGACCCGCCGCGACTCGTGGGGAACGCGCGCTGGGGAACGGGGGTGCGGTGCGGCCGCGCCCAGCGCGGGACTAGCTGGGTTTACTGGGCCAGGGGCTGGGGTCTGCGGGGTTGACGTTTAAAGGTCCAGGTCCGTCCGGTAGAGCAAGTAGCTCTGGAAAGCCATTTGACGATTTTCAGAATGGGACTCCCGAGCAATTCGGTGTAAAGACGCTGGAGGGGATGGGGCGAGCAAATAGCTTCAGTTGTGAATTTCTGTTTGTGGCTTTTTGAAATGGTATAGACATCTTTATTTCCGCCGAAATTGAGATGGTCAGCCAAGAGCTAGTGGACTTTTTCCCGGACAGAATCAACATGGCTATGTGAACGTGACAAAAAGTTTCTTAACCCTAACCTCACCTTCGTGGTCTTAGTTTGCCTTTAAAGAGAGGTGAGAGACGACAATTTATTCGAAACTACTATAACTTTTGTGAGTCCAGGAATTGGATGACATTATGAAACTCCTCTGTAACAGTGTCTTTGAAGCTCATGAGTTTCTAAAGTGAAGGCGGGTACTCAACGAACGATACGGAGATTTAAACTCCTCTTTAGGAAAGGGAGCAGGGAATCAGCTTGTTGTGGCTTTCCTGTATTTGCTTTATGATGTAGTGTTTTGGCTCCAAGAGGTAGTTCTGTATAATTTTGTGACTGGTGGCATTTCTTTCAATAATTTCTTTTTTAATAAAACCAAGGTGAAAGGTTAGATTCCCATCCCCGTTAATTTACCATAATGCTATATTTAAGAGGAAAATATAGATTCCTAGGTTTCATAAATAATATCTCCTCCAGGGGGATGTAGTTAGTAGTCCTCAGAACTAAATGCACTAATGTAGGCTTCCCCCTCCCCTTGCCTTCTCTTTCCTTTTCTTTCACTGACTTAGAGACTCCAAGTGAGGAACTTGATAATAGAAGTTTAGAAGAGATATTGAAAAGCATTCCTCCTCCCCCACCTCCAGCAATGACCAATGAAGCTGGAGCTCCTCGGCTTATGATAACTCATATTGTAAACCAGAACTTCAAATCCTATGCTGGGGAAAAAATTCTGGGACCTTTCCATAAGGTATTTTAAATAATTATTGTAAGGGTAATAGGTCTTCACAAGACGTTTCATTTTTGTATCATTTATCCTAATTTTCTTTCTCACACACATACACATTTTCTATGATTATAACAGCTGAAATTACCTTTTGTTTATCTGGTGATCTTAGGTACATTTTTAGCTATAAAGTTTCCATTGAATGAAGTTGATGTGTTTTTTCGTTTGAAGGGAGTATTTTCCCTTAGAAAATTTAACTATTACAGTGAGTTTTGTTAAAAAGTCTGGGTTAGAATTAGGACATGGTCTTATTTAAGGTGCTGAAGCTTGTGATCGAAGAGAACATAATGTAAGAAAACTTAAGTTATCTTCTAGCAGTGAAAACTTTTAAACACTTGTAGTTTTTATTGCAAGTAAAAAATCAAGCAGTATAAGTTAAAATCAGTAGGATTTAGTGTGATCTTTTAAACTTTTAATTTTTTTTCTGTTTTTTTCTGCAGCGCTTTTCCTGTATTATTGGGCCAAATGGCAGTGGCAAATCCAATGTTATTGATTCTATGCTTTTTGTGTTTGGCTATCGAGCACAAAAAATAAGGTCTAAAAAACTCTCTGTATTAATACATAATTCTGATGAACACAAGGATATTCAGAGTTGTACTGTAGAAGTTCATTTTCAAAAGATAATTGATAAGGTAAGGGATTTTTACTGTTTAGTTTGCAACATCAAGTAAGGAAAACAAAGGACTTAAATACTTTGCATATTTCATTATTTTTGGCTTAACTCAGCTTTTAAAAATTCATGTGTAATTATAGCAGAAGAGATACTGATTTCATCACCTCCATTACCATACTTTCTTTTTGGGGAATGGTGGTAGCTGTTCAAATATTAAAATTTTTCACCAGAGAAATTAATTACAAACAGCTCATAGTAATCCTCACCTTTGTGGAATAAAATGGTGAGCAGTTTTAAGAACCTGAATGCTAAATAAGCATTCTTTTACTATACATTTTGGGTTCCTTTTTAAGGTGACATTTTTATTGCTGTAGAATAAATTACCTAAATTTGAAGATGTAACAATTGACTGATTTTAGCATCTTCATTATTTCAACATACATTAAATGTAATGTTATTAGTGGCCTTTAGTATCTGTGGTATGAAAGAACTTTGCCTCAGTTTCAACTATTATGATTAAGCCCTTTTGAAACTGGTGAAGGGCAAGCTAATGTGTTTTTCTACAAATAGAGACAATTATGGGTAAAATGTCTAGATTATTTACATGATCCTGTTGTTTTTGTTTTTTTTTTCTCTTCTGTTTAATAATTAGAAAATTTGTGATTCAAAAATGACTGAATGGAGCCTAAAAATACAGAAAACTAATTACACAATGAAATGGGTTTGGGGGGTTTTTTTTGTTTTGTTTTGTTTTTTGATATAAAGGGCTTTGACTACATAGAAGCATCTATTTTAATTTTGTTTCTTAGTGCCTTCTATTGTATAATTCACGTTAGAAAATAGGTTGCCAGTAAATCAGCTTTTATTCCATTGCCTATTAATTACATTAGATTCATGAACATTTTTAAGGCCATAGTTAAAGGTAAGGGAAACTGAGTTTTAATTATAAAGTAGATTTGCACTTGATTTTTTTTTAATCTGTTTGTTTTTTAAAAATGAGGGGGATCCAGTTGTAAATTCTTTGTGATTCTTTTTACCTTAAATTAATGGCACAATACTTACCACCCCCTACTAAAAAACTAAACCATATCACCCCGTTATTACTTTTCTTTTTCCTTGAATCATCTCTTGCTGCAGTTTTTAAAAATGGACTAGTCTGTCAACATGATTTAATAATTTGGGTGGGTTTGATTTGGATATGATGGGATTCTTGCCTGCCTTCATCAGCTCTTCTCAATTATGCTTTTAGGTTTGTTTGGAGATGGATTTTTGGTTGGTTGGTTGGTCGGTTTGGCTTTTTGATTTTTGTGACCTTTTTGAGAAAGATACCACCTTGGGGAAAGTATTTATTCTTTGTTAAGAAGGTTATTTCTTAGAACCATGGCCAGTATATGTACATGTTCAATTGAAGTTTTTAATCCATAGAATTAGTTTCAGTATGGAGTAAGTGAAATTTGAAGCAGGCCTGTGACTTAATACCAACAATTGTTTTCTGGTTTTGTTTTTCCTCAAAACAGGAAGGGGATGATTATGAAGTCATTCCTAACAGTAACTTCTATGTATCCAGAACGGCCTACAGAGATAATACTTCTGTCTATCACATAAGTGGGAAGAAAAAGACATTTAAGGATGTTGGAAATCTTCTTCGGAGCCATGGAATTGACTTGGACCATAATAGATTTTTAATCTTACAGGTAAGTTTATTAAAGACTTCAGAGTTCTTGTCACTTTTTCTTTTTCCCCCAATAAATCTAGGAGGTTTTCCCTGGGGTGCATCCTGTATTTTTGAGGCCTTAAAGTACTGTAGCAGCACATCATGGTTTACATACTACAGTCAAGATGCGAATCATTATTTGCTGCTTTAGAAATTTAAGGAAATTCATTCAAAACTATATTTTTATCATCAGATGTTCATTTTATGTTTAGATGGACTGACATACTTGTTCCACTCTAGCAGCACGTAAATATTGGTGTAGTGAAATAAATATTAAACACCAATATTATTGTGCTGCTTTAGTGTGACAGGGATATAGCAACTATCATTTCTGTTTGTATTTCCTGTTAAGACAACATTTTAAATAACATTCATTATCTTTTAATAGTCTGTCCTTTTCTTTGTTTTTGTTCTTCATTCTTATCTCTCCTAATATATAGCAAAAAACTGAAAAAGTCTGTACATTTGGCTGTACTTGACGAATTTATCTGAGCATCTAACTAATTTTAATTTAATCGTGTTAACATTTAGAATGGTTAAGTAAAAGTTTATTCAAATTGGCTTTTGTTTTGTTTAAAATGGCCTTGCTTTTTGAACCACTACTGTTGGTAGATCACAAAGTAACTTTGGTATTACATTCTTAAGTTTCACAACTTTTAAAAATGAAAGTCTTTTAAAAGGGGTGTAAAAATTAAGTGCCTGATAATAAGTTGATTTTTATTAGAAACTATATTTTTTGAGTAAATGTATATTCTACAAGCATGGCTTGGGAAGAAAAATCCCCTGTTGTAAGTTTTTTAAAAAATTTAGTGTAAAACCATGGCTTTGTCAGGCATTTTAAAATTCGTGAGTTTGGTTGAGGGTATTCTGTATTCTATCCAGAATCACCAAGAACATAATAATAAAAGCAAAACTATTTTGTGATACAGCAATGGCTGAAATAAAGTGGGAATTTCAATTTGATACTAAAAGTTTTGTTAATATGACTGACTGTTCACAGTAACAAACTTACAAAATGTTAGCTTCTATTTCCATTTTAATCTTTCTTTAGTTTTTTAAAAAATAATTATTTTTAGACATACATAGTATACAAAGTAAATTATTATCATTCTGGAGTAAATTTTAATAATATATTTTATTACCAGGCATAATACATGTGTAATCCTTCTATGACCCAAACTCATTTAAAAATGATTGTTGGGGGAAATCAGTTGCAGGTGTATTTCTAAACAAGATTTGAATTTATTTAAATGTGAAATTAAAGCATTTTTTTAAATCAAGGTGAACTGTTTTATGGACTTTCATATGCTAGGATTTGGTTAATTATGGACAAAAACTTATGCCCCTTTATAATAGTAAATTTGATGGTACCATTTGATGGGAAACTATACTTGTGTTTATGTTTTCTTTATTTGCTGTTTCTTTACTATCATCCTGGGATAAAGTTTTATACTTATGGAAAAACTCATCAAAATAAAGTGGACTGGGCCGGGCACAGTAGCTCACGCCTATCATCCTAGCACTCTAGGAGGCTGAGGCAGGCGGATTGCTCAAGGTCAGGAGTTTGAAACCAGCCTGAGCAAGAGTGAGATCCTGTCTCTAAGTAGAAAGAAATTAATTGGCCAACTAATATATATAGAAAATATTAGCTGGGCATGGTGGCCCATGCCTGTAGTCCCAGCTACTCGGGAGGCTGAGATAGTAGGATTGCTTGAGCCCAGGAGTTTGAGGTTGCTGTGAGCTAGGCTGATGCCACGGCACTCACTCTAGCCTGGACAACAAAGCAAGACTGTCTCAAAAAAAGAATTAAAAAAAAAATAAAATGGACTGCATTTTAACCCTTCTAAAGATAACTTTTTTTCCCCATGCAGCCTCTCTGTACATAATTCAATAATAAAGTAAGCTAATAACGTAATAACTACCCAGAAGAGTAAATAATAGCTTATAAATTGTCAACTTTATGTTAAATATGTGCCTAGGATGCCTAAGCCATTTGTCCTCGTAATAATGTGAAACTTTTGATGTGATCTTTACAATTACATTGTTTAAAGCAATTCTCCCTAAATAATACCAAGGTAAATTTTCCAAGTTATACGATTAAATTTATAGATAGGGGCCTTAGGAACTCACCTGTTAGGAGGAAACAGTGATTGAACTAGGTAGAACTAATGGTAGAACTAAAAGTTTGAGGGAAAGTGGCAGTGGTTTTTTTCTATGGATTTTTTTTTTTTTGTCCAGTTTTTTATCACAATCTTAGACTCTTACACTGGAGATTTAAAGGTAAGTAAGAATGTGGTTTTCATTAACCTTCTCTCCCACTGAATAACATTTATTTTAAAAACTATCTGTGATTTGGGAGACTGAGAAATCAGACACAACATCATAGTATCACTGTCTACAATATAAGTGATTATTTTGAATAGAATATAGGCTATTTGGCATTGGTAGTGACAGCCTAAGTAATCTAAGTTTAGTACAAGTAAAACTTCATTTTTAAAATTAAAAAGGACTAAATTTTAGGAGTCTATAATAGAGTAAAATTGTATACAATGTTAGTATATTGGTTTAGGTTTTTCAAGCAAGCATTTTTAATATTTGAATCCATTAAAGATTTCATTAGTTGACCATTCAAATGAGTTCCTAATGTGGCACTATACTAATATGCTCTAAATAATATAAAGATGATTAAACATTGTTTCTTGTCTTTCAAGAGATTTATACATGCCCTCAAAATATTAGATTATGATTGACCATTTTATTTTTCATGTTTGTACATTTCTTTTTATATATACCTTATTTGGGAGCCTTTGTCGTATTATAACTATTCCAAACAAGTAGAGTTTTATTAGGTCTGTGTAGCGTTTCAAGGGTAACTATGACTTAAAAATTAGGTTTAATTGGTTTTATTACATTTGCTCTTTTCAAAGGTAGAGGAACAATAGTGCTTGTATTACAAAGTTGCATTAATGATTGCTATCTCAGGAGTGTTTTCGTAAACTACTCAAAAGCTGCAACTATTAGTACAACTTTAATTTTTGTCAAAGTTTTCAACTTCATTAGCTTTTTGTCTTTATATTACAAAGACTAAATTAAAAACAAGAACCAAGGTTTTTGTTTTTTTTTTTACTTTTGTAATTTGGAGATTGGATTAACCTAGGTTTTAGTTGTTGCCTATCCATCTCTTCCTTTTTCCAGTATTCTCCTAAGCTTGTCATGGCATATAAACTATTTGAGTTCTAATCTTTTAGTTTGTAGAAATAAGTCTATGCTGTTTTTTTTAAAAAATGCTTAGTTTTATCGATAATACTTGTTTTCCAAAAGTGTCTGATTCAGCAGCCTGAACTAGGAGAAAAATAGGAAGGTGCCCCTAATCAACCAGAACAGATATCAGTAAGTCCAACTGCTAAAGTATTATCCTATTTATGCACTTATTTTAAATAGATACTAATCTGGGTGATTTAGTTTCTTGGCACCTGGTAGCTTACAAAGAGCAAATTAGAGTACTAACTGTTAGAGAAAGATAAAGAACAATTAATGATTTACAGAATAGTAAAAGATGGAGAAAATAAAAGGATTATCAAGGTAAAATAAAAACTGAAAGACTAGTAATTCTGACAATTTAATTTTGATGCAAACACACATATTTATCTGAAGAATCATTGAAGCCTTATTAGGAAAAAAAGCTTTGTTAACAGCTATATGATGATTGAGTTTTATGTATTTCATGCTTGCTAAAATTTGGATTACATTTGAATAAGGATAAAGGGCATTTTACCTATTCATTCCTCTTAGAGTCTTAATCCGTATTTCTAAAAATTAGATTATCAAAGAGTATTAGAACTGGATCATAGTATCCTTGTTTGCCACCCAACAAAGCCTTCAATATATTAAGATTTAAGCCCTTGATATTATAAATGTCCCTTTAAAGCATATTTGCTGTTTTTGTGACTCTTAAAAGTCATACTGAATATTTTTACAGTTGCTTAATGTCCCTGATACAGTATGAATAGAATTTAAAACATAGAAAGTCCATAGTAAAATAACAGTGAAAAAGTGTTTAAAGCCTAGTTTAGTATGCTTCAAGTTACAGAAAGTAGAGAAAACAATTTGGGAGCTATGCAATTTTGTCAACTTCAGATACTAACATTATAACAACTTGAAACTTTTTTTGTGTGTCATCGTGCCAATCACTATTTATAATTTGGAGCCTTAATATGTAAGGGTGACTTTTAATTCAAGTTGATACTTTTAAATTACTTTTTAACTATATTGAATTTATTTGTTACCCTAAATTAAAACCATATTTTAATTTTACATGGATTGGGGAAGTTTTCTGAAAAAATAAGAAGTGGTCCTCTAGGCACAGACTGTCAACCCACAGATTACATTGGAGATGGCACGAAGTGGAAAAGGGAAGAAAGCAGATGTTAGCAAGTGGTACAACAGGCAAAGGACGTTGAGGAACAGAGCCACAAAAAAAGTCCTAGGTTGACATTGGAATTCCATAGTCAAAGGACAAGTAAAGGCCTTACTGTAATTACATCCTGTTGGTTTCAATAATGCTAATCTAATAATATAGTAACAGGTTAAAAAAAAGAAGAATGCATATAACAATTGATGAAACAGTTGAAAACAGTGTTATGTGGGATTTGAGATGGAACTATTTTGATTCATAAATGTCCTTGTCTTTTTTAACTGGGTAACCTTATTAGAGTGAGAGGAAATCATATCTGTATATCCTTCATTTTATTTGGGGAAGGAGGAACAAATAACCAAAAACAAGCAACTACTGTGCTTTACCCAAAGCTAGACGGTTTCATATTTTTGTTCATTTGTTTTGAGAGACAGGGTCTTGCTGTGTTTCCCAGGCCCCAAACCCCTGAACTCACTTAAGCAATCTTCTGGTCTCAGCCTTCCAAGGGGCAGGGACTACAAGTGCACACCACTACACCTGGTGCAAGGCTGTTCCTTAATACCTGTATTCCCATCTCTTCAAGTAATTTGGCCAGGAAAAAAGTGGTGTTTTTATTTTTTTATCAGTATAAACAGTTTTTGTCGTTGTTGTTGTTTTTGAGACGGAGTCTCACTTTGTTGCCCAGGCTAGACTGCCATGGCATCAGCCTAGCCCACAGCAACCTCAATCTCCTGAACTCAAGCAATCCTACTGCCCCAGCCTTCCGAGTAGCTGGGACTTCAGGCATGCGCCACCATGCCCGGCTAATTTTTTGTATATATATTTTTAGTTGGTCAATTCCTTTCTATTTTTAGTAGAGATGGGGTCTCACTCAGGCTGGTTTTGAACTCCTGTCCTCTAGCAATCTGCCTGCCTTGCCTTCCCAGAGTGCTAGAATTACAGGCATAAGCCACCACAGCTGGCCCTATCAGTATAAACTTTTAAACTGAATCCCAACTTCCAGTTATCTGAAAAATGTATACTTCACTAATACTTTATAGCCATTTCACTGAAATATAACTTCTCTTGGCATGGTTTTTCATTCATTTTAAAATAGGTGTGCAGATACTCAATTTAGGTAGTATACTAGGTATCAGATACTGTTTATTTGGATTATAAACAGTAACCCATAAGATTTAAACTATAACCTCTAGATCAGTGGTTCTTAACTAGAGATAAGGTAGTTCTATACCCCGCCCAGGACATATAGCTGTGTCTTGAGACAGTTTGGGTTGTGATAGCTGGTGGAAGGGGGACTCCGCTGGCATCTAGTGGGTAGAGGTCGGAGATGCTATTAAGCGTACTATAGGCTGGGCGTGGTGGCTCATGCCTGTAATCCTAGCACTCTGGGAGGCCGAGGCGGGCGGATTGCTCGAGGTCAGGAGTTTGAAACCAGCCTGAGCAAGATCGAGACCCCGTCTCTACTATAAATAGGAAGAAATTAATTGGCCAACTAACATATATAGAAAAAATTAGCCGGGCATGGTAGTGCATGCCTGTAGTCCCAGCTACTCGGAAGGCTGGGGCAGTAGGATTGCTTGAGCCCAGGAGTTTGAGGTTGCTGTGAGCTAGGCTGACACTACAGTACTCACTCTAGCCTGAGCAATAAAGCGAGACTCTGTCTCAAAAAAAAAAAAGCATACTATAATGCTCAGCTCAAAATGTCAGTAGTGCCACTGTCGATAAACCCTACCTAGATAAAAACTTTGAATAACATTCTTGGCTGCTTCAGTGACTGAAGTTTATCCTGTTATAACCCAAAGATTTGGACATTTTTCCAGACTTAGATCCTATCTAAAACAAGTATCTACATATTTTAATTTATACCCTGATTCGTACATAATGTGATAAATGTTACGGTGAATAAAATAACAGGCTTCTTGGATAAGAATTTCACTTTATATTTGATAGTCATGTGCTGATAGGTTTTCAAAGTATCAAGTGATGTGTAAAATATTAACAGTTACACCTTTCATTGAGTAGATTTTAAAATGAGCTTTTTATCTAGTTCTGTTATCTTTTTACTTTTTATAATAATAAGACTTTGGGTAAATATGATGCTTTGTCATTAACAAGTATTACTCCAAATTTTTAAGGTTCACTCATTTACTTTAAGATATTTGAATATACTTTTTTAAATGTGTAATTCTTTTTCTTGACTTCATCTTAGTTATTTTGCTATAAACAGAGATATTTTTTCCACTTGTTTGTTCTGTTATAGTAGTCTATAGATGCTATGAATTAAAATATCAGCATTTTGCCCAAACATGTTCACGCAAAATTTTCTCCATCATCAAACTAAAATGGCTGCCTGGCAGTCAGCCTTGACAGTTACTGATTGTGAATTTTTATTTCTGTTTTTCTCTTCATAATTGAACTGCATAAATACAAATATATAAATTTAATTAAGGTTTTAATTACAGTTTACAGTTGTTATATTAGTAATTACAGGCAAAAGTTTTCCAGTGTCTTATGTACTAATGCCATTAGTTTTCTCTAGCCAAGATGATCAGATTTCTTCTGTTATTACCATGAGAAATAGGTTATTTCCTTTTCCATTTAAGGCTCCTGTTTTTAGAAAATTAAATGCCAAGTTTTTGCATCCTTATGAACCCCATCCCTTGTTGAGCAACTTATAATGACCAGCTTTATAGAGAAAGTATAGTAATACTAATGACTCCAAGATCTCAAAACCTTGAGTCTTAGTACAATTTCTTTTTGAAAATTCTTTGTTTTAGAACGGGCTCCAATTATGTTATTAACAGTTGACAGTGTTGCCACTATAATTGAATTACAGATTAAATGAATGCTTTGCTCAATTTTGCTTAATAGTAATGTTAAGTGTTATTTATTTACATTGAAAGAACATTCTAAATAGTGAGATCTTCCTTTGGCTTGATATGTGTGTATGTGTATATGTATATATTATAATTTTATAATTTATGTAACAGTATAAATTCACATTCTTTATCCCCTTCTGTACAATTAAAACTTCAGAATATCAGTGGAGAGAACACTTTTATTTGTATCTTACTAAATCTTAAAGCTACCTAATATACATCATTTAATTCATTACTACTGGGTTTGTTAATTGACTTCTCTCAATTCTCACTTAAGATTGATTTAGCTAAACATATACAGTGAGTATGAAATATGACTTTTTTAAAGGGTGAAGTTGAACAGATTGCTATGATGAAACCAAAAGGCCAGGCTGAGCACGACGAGGGTATGCTTGAATACTTAGAAGATATAATTGGTTGTGGACGGCTAAATGAACCAATTAAAGTCTTGTGTCGAAGAGTTGAAATATTAAATGAACACAGAGGAGAGAAGGTGAATCTTCTTTAGACTCTTCTTATAAATGAGAATGGATTAACACATTTTAGAGTCGGATAGATATTCATGTTATGATAGCTTATAATGAAATGTTTTTACTGTCTTATACCGAAATTTATATTTTTATGTTACTATTTAAGATGAGCATTCTCCTTGTTAATAGCTTTTATCTAATGTTGGTATATTTTAAATTCTGACTGTGCATATAAAGGATGTGTTTAAACTTTTAATTTTTTAGTTAAACAGAGTTAAGATGGTAGAAAAGGAAAAGGATGCGTTAGAAGGAGAAAAAAACATAGCCATTGAATTTCTTACCTTGGAAAATGAAATATTTAGAAAGAAGAGCCATGTTTGTCAGTATTATATGTAAGTGCCTTCATTTAAGAATTTTTATATTAGTTTTCTAACCATTAAGTAAAAAGCCTTTCTCTTTTCCTATATTAGAAATGTGAAAACTTGAGTGAAAGAATCTCTAAAAATTGTTACATGTGATGAATTCATTAAATTAGGGTTAATTACCAAATCATTGAAGTTGACTTTTTAGTCAACTTTTAGTCCTGCTTTAAGTCGGGAGGTGGTTTCACAGATACTTACTACCATATGTTATACTTTTATATATATATACATACATATATATTGTTTTTAAATTCATGTAATAGAAGATCTAAATTTTTTGTTTATGATGAACTTATTTTCTTTTTACATTCTAACCTTGACTCTGGGGTTTTTTCCCCTCTATAGCCTAAGTAGTAGGCTGACTATAGTAGTAAATTGAGTGTAGTTAAGAATATTTTAGAAACAGCTGATTCTACTAAAGTAATTACATAATTTTAGAAATGGCGGGTTTAGTATCTCCTGTTTCTTTGTTTTCCTTCCTCTAGTTATGATCTGCAGAAACGAATTGCTGAAATGGAAACTCAGAAGGAAAAAATTAATGAAGATACCAAAGAAATTAATGAGAAGAGCAATATACTGTCAAATGAAATGAAAGCTAAGAATAAAGATGTAAAGGATGTAGAGAAGTAAGTACTGTACTAGAAAGATTGAGTCAATTTTATGACATGTGTCTATATATAAACTTACTGCCAGCACATTAGGAGTGTAGTACATTTGCAAGCATATAAAATGGTCTCCTTTTGCAGAAAAAAAAAATCTTTATTCAGCATTCAATTCAATGTTATAGACTGAATGCCCAACCCAGAAGTCATAAATAAAATAATGGGACATGCTACCCCCTAGTGGCAGAACACAGTAACAAAACAGTAAAATTTGACCTGACCAGTTAACCTTTTCATGGTCCACAAATGTGATTCAGAGGTGGAATTTTAGTTTTTCTAGATAGTAGGGTCACAATAAAATTTTTGGATATCTGTGCCAATATTCGAGTACAGCAGTATCTCTTCTTATCTATGTAAGTTTCTTTTTCTTTAAAATAATTTTTACTTTTATGATAAAATTTTTAGATGCCTAGACATTTTAGTCACTGGAAAATGTATTTCCTGCCCAGGTTAGAAAGGCAAGGTAACTTCATAATCACAAGTTTTAACAGCTTCTTTTCTATGGGGAGGATCAGCTTGTAGTAGGAAGATTTTAGGATCCTACCTAAAGAGAGCTTCAGATGTTTATAGAGGAAGTGTTCTAAGAAAGATCTATAACATGGCTTTAAAATAATATGCAAAGTAATGACAATAATTTACTTGTTTTGCAAGGAAACTGAATAAAATTACAAAATTTATTGAGGAGAATAAAGAAAAATATACACAGCTAGATTTGGAAGATGTTCAAAGTAGGGAAAAATTAAAAGATGCTAAGAGTAAAGCCAAAATACTGGAGCAACAACTTCAAAAAGATAAAAAAAAGGTAGGTCTTCGGAAAAATCCTTAAAATTTCATGTCTGAATATCATATCTACTTTTTATTATTTCTCATGGATGTGCTTGCCCCGTGTTGCCTAAGGGAATGTGTTAGGATTCTGAATGCTAAGTATGATACTGGGAAAGCATTTACCAAATCAGGAATTCTATTTTGGTGATAATTTTAATTTTTCCAGAGCAGTGGTTTTAAAAACTTACTTTTGATTAAGTATTATAGACTTTTTAAAATATTACCTGTCTTCTACAAAAATCAAACTTAACAGGATCAGAGTGTAATTTTTTAAAAGAGGCATGATGATCATAATTTACAACAGAGGGTTGATTAGCAATTCTTAGGATTTAAAAAAAGAAATTTATACTAGAATATGGAAAAGCCTAACTTACTACCATGTTTCCCCAAAAATAAGACAGGGTCTTATATTTATTTTTCCTCTAAAAGACATCCTAGGGCTTATTTTCAGGGGATGTGTTATTTTTTTAGGTGCGGTATAACAATCTACATTTATTCAAATATAATTAAGTGGTCTTCTGGAACATCATCATAACTTTCCAAACCTGAATTCCATCCTGAATTTCTTGCGACTCTTATTTCCTTTAAAACCATTGGTCCCAATCTCTCATGTTGAGCAATAGAGCTTTCATGGAGCACATGAGAAGGGCTGCTCATCTTCTTTACCGCTCCGAGACAAAATGCATGGGTTGTGTAGATATGCTGCGTAGCCACGCCCATCACTAGGTCTTATTTTCAGGGTGGGGCTTATATTGTGCAAATGCTTAGAAATCCTGCTAGGGCTTATTTTATGGGTAGGTCTTACTTTCGGGGAAGCATGGTAGGAGTCAGACTCTAAGGATCTATTAATTTGGAGTCTTTTAAGCTATCATAGCCCTATATAATATTAATAGATATGACACCTAAACCCACCCCCCCAAAAAAGCTTCATTCCATACAGTTACATAGTAGTTATAATTTAGGCTCTGCTTTACCTTACAAGCATTTTCCAGATATATTTGTTTACAAAATGCTTTCTGCTCAGTAAGCTAATACTATGTTGAGTAGATGTTTGATGAACACTATATTTTGGGAAATGTTGAACTTCTCTGATACTAGATGATCAAAGCAGACAAAATGACAAAGATTGGGGAGTAACGAAATCCAAATTGGACAGAATTTGTCCTATATGGTGTCTAGAAGGGTAATTTTGTGAAAGATTTTAGGATTTGAGAGGGTCAGGGACGAAGTGAAGATAATTTATGGTAAGTTATGTTATAGTATGAAAGATAGCTTGGAAAAGTCCATATGATCGGAGCATGCTGATATATCTAAAGAAGGATAATTACAATCTGAAATCAGGGGGAGAAGGGAGACAGCCCTGAAGCCCTACCAGGGAGAATTTTCTCTCATAAGAAATCAGGAGTTTATAGAATTAGTTTTACCATTAGACTGAGAGAGTATAGAAATTACAGTGAATGGTTAGGAAAATATTTGTTAAAGCCAGCTAGTTCAAATTTAATTACAAAGAAAGCAACAGACAACTAGAAGATCCTGAGAATAAGTCAGATATTGATAACATGTTTCCCCAAAAATAAGACCTACCCATAAAATAAGCCCTAGCAGGATTTCTAAGCATTTGCACAATATAGGCCCTACCCTGAAAATAAGACCTAGTGATGGGCGTGGCTACGCAGCATATCTACACAACCCATGCATTTTGTCTCGGAGCGGTAAAGAAGGTGAGCAGCCCTTCTCATGTGCTCCATGAGAGCTCTATTGCTCGACATGAGAGATTGGGGCCAATGGTTCTAAAGGAAATAGAGTCGCAAGAAATTCAGGATGGAATTCGGGGTTTGAAGAGTTAATGATGTTCCAGAAGAAGACCACTTAATTATATTTGAATAAATGTAGATTGTTGTACCATACTTAAAAATTAATACATCCCCTGAAAATAAGCCCTAGGGTGTCTTTTAGAGGAAAAATAAATATAAGACCCTGTCTTATTTTCGGGGAAAAACGGTAGTATTGGATAGCCTAAAGGTGTATGTGCCTGTAACTTTAATCTATTTTATGATCTCAGGTTGAAGAATTTAAAGGTGTGCCTGCCAAGAGTGAGAATATCATAACTGAGACAACAACTAGAAGCAATGTACTTGAGAAGGAAAAAGAGAAAGAAGAAAAAAAATTAAAAGAAGTTATGGATAGCCTTAAACAGGAAACACAAGATCTTCAGAAAGAAAAAGAAGTAAGATTTTTTTATCGATGTTTATTTTGGTGGCCCTTTTATTTTCTTTAACTTGAAGCAAGTAACTTTCTTTAACTTTTTTCAGTAATACTAAAAACTGTTAAAAAGTTTGGACTTTTAGTATATAACATTTTTAAAATTAGTCAGCCTAGACTTAGATTTGTTCCTCTTATTTTCTACTTTCCTGGTTTTTAAAAAAAGTTAATGAGAATTTGTAGCGGTTGCAGAAAATGTAATATTGTCAAATACAGTACTTTGATCATTATATGTGCCACTCTTACCCTGTTTAATAATACCCACATTTTCTTTTTCATCTCTTAAATTATTTGCCATAACTAATAGGTTGCCATCTATAAAACCTGGGGCCACACTAAACATAGGTATATATGTTTATATAAAGTACCCAGAAAGAAATTAATAAATGTTAGCTATCATGTTATTTTAGCAGTTTATTAATAAAACAAGAGAACATGAAGTTGTCACACTCTGATACGTATCATCTACTCAACAAGAGTATAAACATGAAGTTATCTATGTTTACCACAGCGTTTTTGTTTTTTTACCTTGCTGAGCATATTAAATGCACATTTGAATAATGATAATTAAATTGACTGCATAAAAGGTCACCGGGCCTAATAGGCTCTGCTTTGCAGTATGGCCATGTTGTAATGTCACACTACAAACCTTTATGAGTGGGATACCTATATGATAAAGTGGCAGTGGATAGTGCAGTAGCTTTCACAATGTAATACTTTATGGGTAGTGGATTTTCACTGTTTGTTCATTTAATATATATTGAGTATTCCTTATGTGCCTCTCACTGTGTTAATGACAAGCTAGGACTTAAATTTAAATTCCTCAGCATAATGTAAAGATTTTCAACATAAACTTGAGGAAACTTTCTGCTGAATACTTATTATACCTGATAATGCAGAAAGCATGTGGAATCTAGAGTTTAAACCCAAGTTTGTTTGCTTTTTTAATCCATTTTTGTTTTATTATCTAAAGTGAGCATACTAAGATCTACCTCACAAAGCTCTTAGGAAATCAATTGGAAAAAGTGAACATTGACAACTAGGCAAAAAATGTTAGTCTAGCCCACTTGTAATAATTCTTTATTTCTATATACTATGCTTGTAGATTCTCCTTTCTTAAATTGAATTTAAAATGTATAGTTTTAAATTTCCATGTCATATTCCATGTCAGTTTAGATTTTAAAAATAGATATATTTCAGATTTGATGGACTTATATTTTAACAGAGTCGAGAGAAAGAACTTATGGATTTCAACAAATCAGTAAACGAAGCACGTTCAAAGATGGAGGTAGCCCAGTCAGAACTTGATATCTATCTCAGTCGTCATAACACTGCAGTGTCTCAATTAAGTAAGGCCAAAGAAGCTCTAATTGCAGCTTCTGAGACTCTCAAAGAAAGGAAAGCTGCAATTGGAGATATCGAGGCAAAGCTCCCTCAAACTGAACAAGAATTAAAGAAGGTAAATCTTTGTTTCTGTATTTCATATGAACATTGTCAACGCTAGATTTACAAATTTATGATGGTGTTTTTAATCTCAGCATCTAAAGTGACAGGTATATAGATTAAATGTTTTTTTCATGTAGTGTAATCTTGAAAGAATGTGGTCAGCACTTAAGTATTGCATGTGGTATGAATTGAGACCATCAAGAAACTATTAATATATTCTCCCCAAAAACATCACCACAGCAAATTACTAACCGCACCCCCCATGGAAATAATTTAAACAAAAGAAAGTTTGTGTTTTCCCAAATCTTAAGTAGAGGCAACTCATGTAAGGCTAAATGAAAAGCATAAATATATATGTATCATGAATATACAACCAACTCTCTTAGCGTACTTTTTCTGTTTTTAAATTTATGAATGTAATTTCTTCTCTGATGGTACTCCAAAATGTTATAAAGTAATCAAGATCTATCGCTTAGCTCATCAGTGTTCTCCCCCATCCTTGAATGAGTTAGATATCTAAGGAATTTCATAAACTTTAATCTCCAAAGCCTCAGTCATTAAGCAAGATGGCAGTAGAAAATGCTATTTGAAGAGAAATTATACTGAAAAAATATCTTTTTCATTTTAGTAAATTGCACACTGTTCATCAGAGAATTACATGACCATGTATAATTTAAATGTAAATTGAATTATATCCAGTGACTACGTCTGTCTTCCTGGTGATTCAGTTTATTTTTAGATAAGTTATATCTATAACCTAGTTTTACTTTATGCCAGTGCAACAAGTAATAGAAATAATTTAAAGCCAGGAGATAGGGGAGAATATCAGTTAAAAAAGATGGCTGCTGCTAAATTGGAGATTGAGAAACTGAGCATTTGGGTTTGTGTGTGCTGTGTGTGTTTCTTGTTGACATTTTTGTATAACAATAGGACTACCCAGTCATTCTTTCTCCCCTTCATTTCAGAGATGTTCTTTTGTTTTCCCTTTATTTAACTAAAAAGCAAATCACAGTATAACTATAGTTCTACCTAGTCACTCATACCTGGGGTCCTGTTCCTAAGTGTGTTTTTAATTAGGGCAGAAGTTAGCAATTATTAGGGCACACTCATGCATGACAATGTGGTGCCAAACTAGGATTTCTACAGCCCTCGCTCTGCTTTGTCTATCAGGAGAGACTGTTCCTGGAACTGTATTATACTTAAGTTCCCTTTTATTGACCCAAATAATTTATGGTCCTTTTAAAACAAGAGAGCCTTCCATATTTTTCAAAACCAAACCAGCTGTTGCTATAAGGTAACTCAATTCTATTTCAAGTGTTTATTGTTGGTCTTTTCCTTTATTATTGTTGAAGCATTACAACTAATTCAGTGCTATGGCTGGGTATATTTAGGAGCTAATGCTTCTGGGTTTTGTTTTCTTTACTTCTAATTTTTAGAATGAAAAAGAACTTTGGAAACTTACACAAGAAGAAATAAACATCAAAAGTTTGGTTCATGATCTTTTCCAAAAAGTTGAAGAAGCAAAGAGCTCTTTAACAATGAATCGAAGTAGGGGGAAAGTCCTTGATGCGATAATTCAAGAAAAAAAATCTGGTAGGATCCCAGGAATATATGGAAGATTGGTAAGGTAGATTTATTGGGGAATGACTATATTTTTTTAAGAAAGGCATTAAATGTTTTCTTACCTTGACTTAAAGAGCTGTATATTGTCACTCTACATAAAATAACATTCATATTTGTTTTAAGAGGCATTTCTTTTTAACATTTTACTCTTACAGTTTTTTGGGTTTTATTTACTTAGTTTTGGATAATAATGATCATTTTATACATATCAAGGAAAAAAACTAGTAATGATAAGCACACAACTACTTTATCCTTTTTTTAAAACTAAGAATTTAGCACATCTGTAGTCCTAGCTACTTGAAGCCAAGGTGGGAGGATCATTTGAGCCAAGGAGTTCTCTAGCTTAGGCAACATAGTGAGACTCTCTCTTAAAAAAAATTTTTTTTTATAATTGATATTTTGGCTTTTATACACTTATACTTAAAGTTTTGGCTGGGATTTAGAGAAATCAACAGGGATAATCTTAAAAACCTACGAATATCAAGAGTGGGGATCATTATTGCTCCTGAGCCTCAAGAGGCAGGGGCACTGTGGTCTGGAGGAAAAAGGGAAAATAAATACCTCAGCCCCATTTATCTCCTGTCCTCCAGTCTTCCAGCTGATATCTTATATTGGCTAAAGCAATTGTTCTCAAACTGCAGGTGCCTAGCACTTTTATCCGGGGCCCTCCGGGTGTTTTTGCCACCGCTGCCTGTCCTGCTTAGCAGCTGACTTGTCCCAGGCCCACAGTGCGCACTCTCCAACCATCTGAGGGAGAGTGAACTGGCCCCCTGTTTTAAAAGTTTGAGGACCCCTGGGCTAAAGCTTGATAGCCAAAGGAGCCGGCTGATGCAGTTACTTAGCCTTCCAAGGAGGAGAACAGAAAGGGTGATTGAAAATGACCCAGCAAAGTTGTTTTTGTGCTATGTCTTATATCAAGTGACTTGCACCTTATGTTCTTGAAGATTTACACTGTATCCTATTATTTTCTCTCAAGGAAAACTAAAGTCAGTGAATGGTGCTAAGTAGCTAATTAGTAGGTTGATAGTAGGTTGATAAAGTCCTTCATCAGGACTTTAGATGGCTTTCAATAAGTCAAAGTTTTATAAGTTGTTTTATTTATAGTACATTTAGGTTTCATATCTTCACATTATATGTTTTCATGAAATGAATACAGTTCTTTCTTTCTGTGCTCATTAAAAATTCAAACTGCATATCTATAAACTTTTTTTAAAAGGTGGATTAAAAACTACTTGCGGTGATTGCCTCTACAGAAGGGGAGGATTGGGAGTGAGGACACCTAAAACTTTTTGTTGTGTAACTTTTTTGTACTTTTTATAAACCATATTTATATAATTTTTCAATTAAAAGTAATTTTAAAAATCTGTATGAATAGTAATGAAATGATCCTCTCTGCCTTTTGTCTAATTCCTTTTTCTCCCCTCTAAATTATTAGGGAGACTTAGGAGCTATTGATGAAAAATACGATGTTGCTATTTCATCCTGTTGTCATGCATTAGACTACATTGTTGTTGATTCTATTGATACAGCCCAAGAATGCGTAAACTTCCTTAAAAGACAAAATATTGGAGTTGCAACCTTTATAGGTTTAGATAAGGTAAGTATTCTTAATAAGTTACTTGTAATTTACTTTTTCAGTGCTAAATGTTTTTTGTTTCTGGATTCTAGCTTTTTCTTCACAGTCAGTGAACACCTGATAAGATTTGAGGATTATTTTAGGTTCTGGGATTGCAGTTACAAAAAAAACCTTTGTAGTGCCTGCACTAAAGGAATATATATTCCAGTGTTAGAGTGACTGCCAATGTTTGAGTGACTGGTAGTTTGTTTCTAACTTCATCATCAGTGACTACTTTAAAAAAAAAAAAAGAAAGCCTTTATTGAGATAGAATTCACCATTTTAAAGTACACAGTTCAGTGGGCTTTAGTATGTTCACAGGGTTATTCAATAATGACCACTATCTAATTTCAGAACTTTTTTTACTACTTCAAAATTAAACTCTATAGGTGTTAGCAGTCACTCTTCATATTCCATCTCCCACGGCAACCACGAATCTACTTTTCTGTCTCTATAGATTTCTGTCCTAGATATATAAATGGAATCATATAATATGCTGCCTTTTGTATATAGTTACATTTACTTAACAGGTTTTCAGGTTCATCTATGTTGTGTTATGTATTAATTCTTCCTTTTTGTTGCCAAATGATATTTCACTATATGGATAATACTGTATTTTGCATAACCATTCGTCACTTAATGGACATTGGTGTTTCCACTTTTTGACTGCTTTGACAATAATGCTGCATGAACCTCCATTCATGTGTAAGTTTTTATGTGAACATGGGTTTTCAGTTCTCTTGGTTATATACGTAGAGGTGGAATTGCTAGGTCATATGGTAATTCTATTTATCTTTTTGGGAAACTGCCATACTGTTTCCACAGTGGTTGTTACCATTTCCCACCAGCATATATAAGGGTTCCAATTTCTTTACATCCTCACCAACACTTGTTGTTTTGCATCTTTTTGATTATATTTGTCTTAGTGGATGTGAAGTGGTATGTCATTGTGGTTTTGATTTGCATTTCCCTGATGACGAATGATGTTGAATATCTTTTAATGTGTTTGACCATTTGTTTATCTTCCTTGGAGAAATGTCTGAATCCTTTGCTCATTTTTTAATTGGTTATCTTTTTATTATTGTAAGAGTATTTTATTCTGGATACAAATCTCTTGTCAGATAATATGATTTACAAATATTTTCGTCCATTCTTTGGATGGTATTTTTACTTTCTTTTTTTTGAGACAGAGTCTCACTTTGTTGCCCAGGCTAGAGTGATGCCGTGCGTCAGCCTGGCTCACAGCAACCTCATCTCCGGGGTCAGCGATCCTACGCCTCAGCTCCCGAGTAGCTGGGACTACAGGCATCACCACCATGCCGGCTAATTTTGTTATATTATATGTGGTCAATTAATTTATTCTATTTTTGGTAGAGACGGGTCTCGCTCAGGCTGGTTTCGACTCCTGACCTTGAGCAATCCGCACGGCTTGGCCTCCAAAGTGCTAGGATTACAGGCGTGAGCCACACGCCCGGCTGTATTTTACTTTCTTGATGTGGTCCTTTGAAGTACAGAGTTTTAATTCTAAGAAACCACTGCCTAATTAAGTCACAGTGATTTACTGCCTCTATTCTTAATAGTTTTTTGTTTGTTTGTTTGTTTTGTTGTTTTTTGAGACAGAGTCTCACTTTATTGCCCAGGCTAGAGTGAGTGCTGTGGCGTCAGCCTAGCTCACAGCAACCTCACACTCCTGGGCTCAAGTGATCTTTCTGTCTCAGCCTCCCGAGTAGCTGGGACCACATGCATGCACCACCATGCCGGCTAATTTTTTCTATACATATTAGTTGGCCAGTTAATTTCTTTCTATTTATGGTAGAGACTGGGTCTCGCTCTTGCTCAGGCTGGTTTTGAACTTCTGGCCTCAAGCAATCCGCCTGCCTCGGCTCTTCAGAGTGCTAGATTACAGGCGTGAGCCACCACGCCCAGCCTCCCTAATAGTTTTATAGTAGCTTTTACATTTAGGTTTCTAATCTATTTTGAGTTATTTTATATATGGTATAAAATGGGATCAACTTTACATTTTGCATGTGGCTATTCAGTTGTTCTAGGACCATTTGTTGAAAAGACTATTCTTTCTCTCATTGAGTTTTCTTGGCACTCTTGTTGAAATCAGCCAAGTATAATGTAAGGGTTTTTTCTGGACTCTAAATTTTATGTGCTGGTACACAACATTGTTTGATTATTATAGCTTTAGTAAGTTTGGAAATCAGGAAGTGTGATTCTTCAAATTTTGTTCTGTGTTCTTGAATTTCCATATGACTTTTTAGATCAGCTAGTTGGTTTCTGCCCCAAAAGTAGAGTGAGGGGTATCGGGAGCCGGTGACTGGGATTTTGATTGCATTCAGTGCAGGTTGCATTGAATCTGTAGATCAGTTAGGTAATAGTGCTATCTTAACAATATTAATCTCTGATTCTTATAACTTTTAATATACAAGTCTTATGTCTCTTTCATTATATTTATTCCCATGTTTTTGGATTTCTTTATGATAGTATAAATGGAATTTAATTTCATTTTCTGACTGTTCATTGCTCTTGTACACAGTATAATTTTGCATATTGATCTTGATCCTATAACCTTGCTGAACTCTTTATTAGTTTTAATAGCTTTTGTGTTGTGATTACTTAGGATTTTTAATAGATAAGATCATACCTAGAAGAAACTACAGTTCTTTTTATATATGGTTTTTTACTTTTAGATGGCGTATGGGCAAAAAATGACCAAATTCAAACTCCTGAAAACACTCCTCGGTTATTTTTTTAGTAAAGTAAAGATGAGGAAATTCGCCAAGCTTTTACTTTGCTTTACGGATACCTTAGTAGCTGACAACTTGGATCAAGCCACAAGAGTAGCATATCAAAAAGATAGAAGATGGAGAGTGGTAACTTTACAGGGGCAGATCATAGAACAATCAGTAATGGTTTTTCTGGCATTGATTTATTTATCTTGTTGGGGGAGACATCTAAGACTGACTCTTTCTCTGTTTTTACAGGTACAATGACTGGTGGTAGCAAAGTAATGAAAGGAAGAATGGGTTCATCAGTTGTCGTTGAAATCTCTGAAGAGGAGGTCAGCATATCTAAAATTATAGTCAGACATTTTTTTTTATAAACAGCTTTATTAAAGTATAGCATACATATTACAAAATTTGGCCATTTTAAGTTTAATGTACTCACATTTTAAATTAATAGATTGTATTTTTAAAGTGATTGGGGGCTTATAAACACTTTAAAGTTTTGAAAAATAAAACATTAACTGGAAAGTATTTGTTCAACATTTTTTATTTCACTTGAATTGTAAGGATATTTCACAATTTACGTGGCCATTTTTAAAATAATTCTTCAAAGGTGTATGTTTAGTAAACACTTCTGATCTTAATTTCCAGATCTTAATTCAAAATATTTTATTTTGTTGCTACTTTATATTTCACAAAATGTCAAAAAAAAACTGCTATATTCTATCCAGTATTGCCTCAGAAAACTATATGTACTTTTCTCTTACTTGACTTGAAAATATGTTCTTAGATGTCCTGGATATCTAATTCCTTTACCTTGATTTCCCCACCCTCATTTCCCCATTCCCCCCCATTTTCAAAATGTAAGTTTATATCCTTCCATTCAAGTGTATGAATGTCATCCCTTCATTGGAATAAGAAGTGACAGTACAACACTTAAAGTTGTCTTTCCATCTGTTTAGGTGATACAGAAATTAGTTGAACATTCCTGAATTTTTAGGATTAGGGATTGGAATTGGACTCCATTTTTTTTTTTTTTTTAGACAGAGGTCTCGCTTTGTTGCCCAGGCTAGAGTGAGTGCCGTGGCGTCAGCCTAGCTCATAGCAACCTCAAACTCCTGGGCTTAAGCAATCCTGCTGCCTCAGCTTTCGAGTAGTGGGACTACAGGTATGCGCCACTGTGCCAGGTATTTTTTCTTATATATATTAGTTGGCCAATAATTTCTTGCTATTTTATAGTAGAGAACGGGGTCTTGCTCTTGCTCAGGCTGGTTTCAAACTCCTGATCTCGAGCAATACCCCACCCAACCCCCGCCTCGGCCTCCCGGAGTGCTAGGATTACAGGCATGAGCCACAGCGCCCAGCCTGGACTCTTTATTTTTATTCTAGTCTTTAAGATCATAAGTTTGAGTTTTCTTCATAAATTGACTTTGCTGTCAATCTGAAATGACTCATGGGGAAAGCTTTACTGATATTTCTCTGTAGGTAAATAAAATGGAGTTACAGTTGCAAAAAGACTCTAAAAAATCATTGCAAATCCAAGAACAAAAAGTACAACTTGAAGAAGCAGTAGTCAAGTTACGGCATAGTGAACGAGAAATGAGGAATACACTAGAGAAATTTACTGCAAGCATCCAGGTATTCCCTTTGTGCATGCATTTTTGTGTATAGACATTAACTGAAACTATTGGAATTCGACAGAAATTTAGCAGAACCACTTTGCTTTTTGCTTATAATTTTAAAATATAAGGGAGAAGGGAGGGTGGGTTTCAAAGCAGAAGGTCTAATTCTTGGTTTTGTATTTCATAGAAACATGACTTATTTAGCAGCCACATGACCCTTTATTTTTCTTCTTTTCAAAATGGAATGTTTTCTTTTTTCTTTTTTTTTTTTCTGATGCCACGGCACTCACCGCCAGCCTGGCAGCAAAGCGAGACTCTGTCTC